AAAGGATTTCAAATGTTCAAAGATTTTTATTTAGATATACTATTATTTTTAATGAACCTATTTAATTTCTATTCAAAGAAAGAAAGAAAGATGGAGGTGGCAGAGATGAGAATGTTGAGATGGATGTGTAGAGTNATTTTTCACTGTGTCTCATTTAGTTTTCATATTCCTCTCATTTGTGTATTCTGCACAGAGCTGTCAAGAGGGGGCTGGGGATTTTTCCCAGGCCCGGAGAAAATTTAGGGGGCCATAGCAGTTCAACCCTATAAATTAGTGTTATTTTTACTAATAAAAAGTAAAATCTTTAAGACTACTTTTTATCAATAAAGAAAAATTTTAAGTATTTCATTTGGTCAAAGAAAAAATGACAAAAAGAGTTCCTCTCTACTCTTGATACCAATACAGCCCTGATTCTGCAGATATACAATAGTATTTACACTTTTTGAATAACCTATTTGAAGTTTAATAGTCCTTGCAATCAACAGGGAGTAACAGATGCAAAAATTTGTATTATGTAAAATTATTATTCATGTTAATACAATTTTTTGAAAACAATTTCAGATGAGTTACTTTTAAATTTTAATACCGAGGAATGCTCAAAAACTTAAAATTAAACAAATTATATTAATTATAAGCAATTTACAATGTACTTTGTCAATATGATCAAAAAAATTGGATAGCAATGGCAGATAAATTACATTAACACATTTTTCAACATATCTGTATTAGCAAAATTTTTAGTTTCTGATATTTTTTGTTAAAGTAGATGGCAAATGCTGAGTAGATAATATAAAGGTTTATTTTTTTTTTATAATTACAGATAAAATATTTTAATAGTTTCATTAATTAATCTGTTACTTTTTTTATAATAATACAAAATTCCTAAAATTGATTCTCATTTTAATAAGCATCTAATTTTCTGTATAAATTTTTATACATAATCCAATAATTTACAATATTATTATGTCATATTATATTTATAACTGTAATATTATAACAATATACAGTATTATATGTTTATATGCAATATTATTTAAAAATTTTAAGATTTATCTGAACAAATGTAAAGTAGACACGGGTGCAAGAAAATTGACTACCTTGATATAATAGGTATAGAAGAATATTAAGTTTCTAGTAAATATATCTAACAAGTTACATTAGAATATAATAGAATACAAACACTTTACATATTATGGGAATAAAAAGTTAATTTAGTACGATAAATTTATGTTTATTTTTAATAAAGGAATAATTTAGGAAATAAAAGAATTTATTATAAATATCCTCAATTTATTATTACATATTCATAAATGAATACTTATCTATTTAATTTCTTTTAAAAAAAAATGACTTAATGCTTTAGTAATTAATTTTTAAGAATTTATAATTTCTATATTTGTTCAAATGTCAACAGTATTATTATAATCAATTATAAATTAAATTTAATAAGAGTAAGAATTTAGACTAAGTAATGTAGATCGCATGAAGATTTTAATAATATAATAATTAGCAAGTTAAATATTGAATCATGGCACATTGATTCTTAAATAAATTTTAATTAAAATTTGTTCTTCTTACATTAAAAAATAAAATTTTATAATCTAATCCTAAAAATAAATATTTTTATATAACATTTCTTGAATGAACTATTCAACATAAATTGTAATGCATTTCAAGAAAATTTTTTCTCTTCCCTATGTTATGTAATATGAATCCTGAAAAGGATTTCAAATGTTCAAAGATTTTTATTTAGATATACTATTATTTTTAATGAACCTATTTAATTTCTATTCAAAGAAAGAAAGAAAGATGGAGGTGGCAGAGATGAGAATGTTGAGATGGATGTGTAGAGTGTCAAGGAAAGATAGAATAAGGAATGAGTTTATTAGAGGTTCTGTTAAAATGGGTCCCTTGAGCAGGAAGATGCAAGAATGAAGGTTGAGGTGGTTTGTCCACATAGAGTGAAGTAGTGAAGATTATGTTGGAAAGAGGGTTGGAAAACTAACTGAAAGTGAAAGGAAGGAGGAAGAGAGGAAGACCAGGCCTGCATTGGAAGGATAAAATGGAAGAAGACTCAAATCAGAGAGGATTTAAGAGAGAAGATGTCCTCAACAGGAAAAAATGGAAGAAACATATTAGAGAAGGAAATGCCGACCCCATATAAAATATGGGAAAAGGGCAAAGATAAAGAAGATGATGATTTAATTTCTACACATTTATATAATAAGGAATCTTATTCTTAAACTTATAGCAAACCATATTTAATTTATTATAATGCATTTTACTTTAATTTAAAGAACAAATCACAAAAATGCTAAAATTATATCTAATTAATAATTTTGTAAATATTCCCTGATCATTCATTTACACCCACATAGTAACAGGAACATTAAAATATGTAATTTTTATACACATTATTATATTATTAAAAATTTTTACTAATAAAATATTTTTCTACGTTGTTTCCTACAATGATTATATAACTCTTATACACAATATAATATTATTATTAAAATTATTACTAATAAAATATTTTTCTATGTCAGTGGTTCCCAACCTTTTTTCATTAGCGTACCCCGTGACATGTGATATCTCTAGATTGTACCCTTCATTTAAGAAATTTAGTGAGTAACCGTATTGTTAATTTTACATATTGTAACTTTAAATTAAAGAAAAAAAACCCTAAAAGAAAAAATGCATAATAAAGTTGTGATTGTTGCAAGGAACATTTTTTACCTAATAATTTTTTAATACTATTAGTTTGTGATACATAATATATTATT